CCCTGGGTTCCTTTAAGTTCCAGCTAAAATTTCATCTTCTGTCAGAGGTCCTCCCTGATTCCCTTCAATGCCAGTACCTTTTCTCTGAGATTATCTCTAATTTTCTGCATGTATCTTATTTGTACATAGTGTTTGCATGTTGTCTCTCCCATTGGACTCTGGGTTCCTTGAGAACATGGATTGGATTTTTGTGTGTGTGTCTTTGTATCCCTAATGCATAGCATAGTGCCTCGCACATGTAGGTGCTTCCTTTTTGCTTCTTGACTTGGCCACACTTGTACTTAGAGCATTTTGTCCTTGGTAGAGTGTATTCTCTTTGATAGAATTTGTGCTCCACTCATGTATTTTTAGTGAATCAGGAGTCAGGGTTGTGCGCATATCAGAATAAATATCTATGGGAGGATTTTTGTGAATGTTGTCTATGTAGTACTTTTTGGAATCTGTCCTGATTGTGTTAGCTATTTTAGCTGCCCTGTCACAATACTAGTTTGGGGTGATCTGAGAGAAGGCTTTTCTATATAAACTGCTTATTGATTATATCCCCTTCAACCCTCATCTTATATTCAGTTGACTTTTTTGAGCATAAGTGTGGGATTTAAGATTTATATTTATTAAATTTCATTTTCTTGGTATATACTGTATCATTCCTCCCTATCAAGATTTTCTTTGTGTATTTGTGTTGATTCTGTCATTCACTGTGTTCATTGCCCTAATTTTATGCTTATTCATGGTTTAATAGGTATGCCATCTATCATCTAAAGTCATTTGTAATTATCATTAGTGTTTTGAGAGAATCATCTCTCTCCTTGGGCTGTCTCTCCTTGTAATGTTTTGATTCCTCTCTCTGCCCCTCTTTTCCTCTCCAACATGTTTTGTTTTGCTCTTCTGTAGCTGCACTGACATGGCTGTATTATGGCTATCTGTATGTCTCATTTTCTTCTTAGACCCTGAATTACACAAGGGCAGTACTTTGTAGCTCTCCCAGTGCCTAGCACTGGCTCTACGCAGTAGATGCATAACAAATATCTTAAAATTTTGATTCAATTGAAAATCTTGCTTGTGCCAATGTATCTTTCTCTAAATTGTTTTGAATACGTTCTCCTAAAGTTTAGATTCTACTAGACGTGGTACTTCCCTTGTTATAAACTAGAAGACAGCAGTATACCATTCTCCCAGAGTTTCATTTCAGTTCTTCACACATTTATGTTAAGCACTCTACTTCACTGCCGTCTTCTTGCCACCAAGACCAGAGACCGTGTCCTAGAGATCATAACCCTCTCAACTCCAGAACTCCCCTCCAAGGTCTTGATTGGTAGGGGAGTGCCATATTGTGTGTGGCCCACTATAGAATCCAATATAAACTCTTCTGTTTGGCATCTAACACCCTTCACAAACTTGTCCCTAATCTGCCATTGTAACCTTACTATAGAGTGTTCCACGCCCCCCTTTTTTTCTACCTTCTCCATTCCTGCTCCTCACACTCTTATGTGAAACATGACTACAGCGACCAAACATGAAATTAAGGGATTGGTACCATCCGGTAAGCAGAATCACATACAGAAAAAGGAATGGACTTACATGAAAAACTTGTGGCTGAGTTGAAATCAGATTTACTTTTGCTGGATGTTTTTGTATTGTGTGTGGTGTCCATCTGTATCCAGAGAAACAGTGTCTCCGCTTTTGCAGAAAAGCTGTTGGGTTCAGTGACTATGATGAGTTGTTAATTGATTGATGCAGTCTGTAGCTTTCAATAAATATGGATCTTTTAAAAAAAAAAAAAGTTATCCAGCTTGGCTAGCTACATGGGTAAAATTACCCAAATAATTAATTACTAACAGTTGTTATTTATTAGCCTGCCTTATCCTCCTGAAACATACACAGAGATTTTTTCAAAAATAATAAACATATTCAAATAATATCACGTTCTAAAATTACCATTCATATTTTAGTGAGAATAAAATGGTTTTTATACCGTTAATAAAATACAAATATTTTAAAACATTTTAAATCTTTTATCTCCTTATTTTTCTTCTAATGCATGTTTTGGGTAATGCATACAGTAGCATATGTACATAACTTATAAATATACATATATTTGAGGTCCCCTCTCAAAAAAATTGGGGTGTATAATTGTAAAGCTTGGAAATCTACAATATACGGTGCTATTCTGTTGCTCCATTCATTTTATGTTTTCCTTTGGAGTAGCGTGTACTCTTTGGTTTTAGTAAATTATCCAGAAAGTCACAGGTCTGGACCAAAAAAATATACACCCCTTAAAAACTTGCTAGAACATAGTTGATTTGACTTGTATAGTATTGTTATCAAATGCTTAGTTTCTCTATCATTCTTATATAAAAGACAGTACCTGGATAATCTGGTTAGTGAAATGATTTCTTAAAACAGTTTAATTACTTATTACTACTAACACTTAATGTTTAATTTAGTCCTGTTAAAAAGTCTGCATAAAGCCAAATGTGTTTACAGAATATTTAGGTCAAAATGGGCATCCAGTATCTTTAGGGTAGGTGAAAGAAAAAATACAGATGATTCATAGCATCTGTATTTTATTAAACTTACATTCTGTTTGGAGTTGAGTTGGAAGTAAAAACTGAGACTTATGGAGGGTAGACTATTTTTCTCCTATAGGTGTTTCCTGTTTCTGATTTAGAAATACTATTGTAATATTTTCTTTCAGGGTTTCTACTGCCATTATTTGAGAACAAGATATCCAAATGAACAAAATTAGTTTTATGTATTTGGAAAATAATAGCCAAAGATAATGTTGGAAAATATAAAAATTATTTGGGCAGGCTGTGTACTAAAGAAATGTGTACTTTGTAGACACATATATGTAAAATAACTGGAGATTGATATTGTATATGACCTGAACCTCTTCAGTTGGAGGTTAGATATCCATTTCCTGTCATATCCAGAATGCATGATTTGGGTAGGGATTCAACTAGATGACCTCAATAGGCCCTTTAAAAAATGGTAAGGATTTTGAAGTCTGATTTTAAGGGAAGACTTAGAGGCTGGTTTACTGGTAACAGCCAGAAGTGACAACTAACAGCTTGATATTGAAGATAGAAAAAAGATTAAAAAAAAAAAAATACAACTCCTCAAATGAAATTGCTCCATAGTCTGATGCCATTAGTCAAGTGGCCATCAACAGCTTCATAACTGCTAATGGCATCATTACCAGCAGAGTAATACAGTCCAATTTCCTAGGCTTTTGTTCTGGCCCTGCCATTAGTTAGCTCACTTTGTTGTCTTTGCGTTTCTTATTTACATATTGAGGGATTAAATAAAATGAATCTTCAAAATTACTTCCAGTTTTACCTGTGATTTTGTTTTGTCAGTCACTCGAAAAGGTGAACAAGGTTAAGATGTAAAATTAGGTATTTTAGAAAGATTCCTGTCAAAGATGATTTTTTAAAAAATTATTTTTATTTACAGTTCCAAATTTTCCCCCTTCAGCCTCTCCCCCACCTATTGAGAAGGGAAGAAATACCATATCCATATCCATATTGTGCAAAATATATTTCTGAATTGACTCTGTTATGAAATTTTTTTTTCAAGAAAAATAAAGAAAAAACAGGCTTTAGTCTGTGTTCTGAGTCCATCAATTCTCATATCTGGAGGTGGATATCATTTTACATCATCATTCCTTTGGAGTTTGGTGGATCAGTTACTTAGTTGCTTAGAGTTACTTAATCTTTCATAGCGTAATTATCTTCAGTATTTTGCTGGTACTGTGTACATTGTTCTGGTTCTGTTCCCTTTCCTTTGCATCAGTACATATAAACTTTCCTAGGATTTTCTGAAACCATTCCCTTTGTAATTTCTTATAGAGCACAATAGTATTCCATCATAATCATAAACCATCACTTATTCAGTCATTTCTCATTTGATGGGCATCCCTTAAATTTCCAATTCTTTGCCACCATAAAAAAGAATGGCTATAAATGTTTTCATACATATGGTTCCTTTTCCTTTGATCTCCTTGGAGTGTAGACATAGTAGCAGTGTTGCTGGGCTAAACTGTAGGCACAGTTTTACAGCTCTTGCAGTGTGATTCCATATTGTTCTCCAGAAGGGTTGGACTAGTTCACAGCTTCACTAACAGTGTATTAGTGTACCTATTCTCCCGCATCATCTTTAGTATTTGTAATTTTCCTTTTATGTCATCTTACCCAATCTCATGGATAAGAGATGGTATCAAAGACTGATTAAACTAAAACAAGTATCATATTTAAATGAGTCTCTGAAAAATGCTCTTAGAATACTTCATTCTACAATTAATTATTCATCCAGTCAGATCTCTTGTCGCTTCATGTGATTGATGAGAGTGCAGATCAGAATACATAAATAATGGAATTGATGATCTTTCTTGCTGTTTCCATTTCAGTCTAATGTCTGGACCATTGGTTCATCTCACTCAGTTTTTGCCTTCTTAGTTGGCCATTTGGAAAAAGATTAGATTCATTCTATAATATGCTTAGTCCATTTATCATTGACCTTTCTAGCTCTGCCACATGACCTTTTTGGGTTTTTCTTCATCCTATTACCTGTTTACAAAATGTTGGCACCTCTCCCCCCCCACACCCTGCGAAGTTCTGTAGAACTCTTGAAATTGCCATGCAAATACAACAAAACATTCCATATACTGTTTTTTCCAAAGTTGCTGAATGACTCTACACTTCTCTTTTTCATTCTTCAGCGTGAGCTAACATTCTGATGCTTAAATAACTACAAGAACTTTCCTTAGAGTGAATATGTTGTCTTATTTAAATAAATTTATTGTTTTATTTAAGTAAAGATTTCTAGTAAATCAATGATTCAGGAAGGGGTTATTTTTTTGTTTGTTTTTGTTTTTGGCTAGGCAGTGGGGTTACGTGACTTGCCCAGGGCTACACAGGTAATGAGTGTTATGTGTGGGACTTTTTTCTAAATATCCAAGTCATCATGGCTATAACTTATTTTCTTTTTTCTTTTTTTAGGCTGTTCCAAGCCAGACTATAAGTTGATAGAATGAAAAAGTTTAAGAGAAGACTGTCCCTCACGCTTCGTGGCAGCCAGACCATTGATGAATCGCTTTCTGAACTGGCTGAACAAATGACTATTGAAGAAAACAGTAGCAAGGATAACGGTAAACATGTTTGGTTTTTTTCCCAGTTAATTCTTCTGAAACAAGAATTTTTTAAAGGAGAATAATATTACCATTTTTAAGAGAAGTTACTTGGTTAAAATTATTGCTAAAATGAGAAGACCAGAAGACCCCAGAAATAATATGATCCGTAGAGCACTTGATCTCATCAGATAGAAAGGCAGCTGAGGGCAACGCTTTTTCAGAGTTTGCTCATTTGCAAAAGCTTATGTTTTTAAAATTGTCTGCCCAATTCCCTACTTCTCTTTTTTCTTTTGTTAGTAATACTCTTCAGGGATATAAGTTTTTGTTGTTGTTCAGTTGTGTCCGAATCTTCATGACTCCATTTGAAGCTTTTTTGTCAAAGATACTGGAGTGGTTTGCCATTTCCTTCTCCATCTCATTTTACAGAGGAGGAAACTGAGACAAACAGGGTGAAGTGACTTGCCCCAGGGTCACACAGCTAGTAAATGTCTGAGGCCAGATTTGAACTCAGGTCCTCCTGACTCCAGAGCCAGCACTCTATGCACTGTGCCACCCAGCTGCCTGGTGCAAGTTTACCTCTTAAGAAATCAGTAATTGTTGTTTCTGTGATTTGGTCTTTGACCCACTCGTCATTTAGGATATCCTTTTTTAGTCTCTGGCTCTGCATTATTCTTTTCATAGATGAGAGACAACATGATGTAGTCAGTAGAATGTAGGACTTGAGAGTCAGGAAATCTGGATTCAAATCCTGCCTTGACACATTCTCGCTTTGTGACCCTGGACAAGTCAAATTGCTTAATTTTTCTGGGCCTGGTTTCATCATCTGTAAAACAGAAATAACTTTTTTAAAAAATAGTTTTATTTTATTTTCAGTTTCTAATTTTCTTTCACCTTCCCCTTCCCTCACCCACTGAGAAAGCAAGAAAAATGAAACCTGTTAGAAATATGTATAGTCAAGCAAAACAAATTCCCACATAAACTGTACCCAGCTGTGTTTATCAGAGTTTCTAAGTCTTTCAAAGTTGTTTGTTTTTACAGTGTTATTATTGTATCAGTTGTCTGGTACTGCTCACTTCACTCATTATCAGTTTAGTTCATACAAGTCTTCTCAGGTTTTTCTCAAGCTATCTCCTTCATCATTTCTTTCTTTTTTAAATTTTCTCTTAAAATCTATTTATTTTTAAAATTTAAAGAAAAAATTTCTCACTTCATTGCATTCCATACACATGCTATAACTTGTTCATTCATTTCCCAATTAGTAGATACCGCTTAGTTTCCAATTCTTTGTCACCAGGAAAAGAGCTGCTGTAAATGTTATTGTGCATATGGGTCATTTCCTTTGGTATCTTTGGGTATAGATCTAGTAGTATCACTGGGTTAAAGGGTAAGCAGAGTTTAATAGCTTTGGGTATATTTCCAAATTGCTTTCCAGAGTAGCTGGACCAGTTCACAGTTCTACCAGCAATGCATCAATATACCTATTTTCCCACAACATATCCAGCTTTTGTCATTTTCTTTTTTTTGGCAGTTTTGCCAATCTCTGATGGATGTGAGGTAGTACCACAGAGTTGTTTTAATTTGCATTTCATCTAATTATTAGTGATTTAGAACATTTTTTTCAAATAGCTATTGATAGCTTCGATTTCTTCCTCTATAAAGAGAAGATTCATATCCTTTGATCATTTATAAATTGTGGAATTGCTTTTATAAAGTAGGAATAATAACATTCCCCACCTTGCATGGTACAGAGATGAAGATCAAAATTAGTAAGTTTTTGCAAACCTTAAAATACTGTAAAGGTCATGAGCTGTTATTTTATTTCCTTTGTTTGATTATAGCTTTATCGAATTAGGGACTGTCAAAGACATTTTTTAAGATTTCTGCCTTTTTACATTGTTTTGAGATTTCCTAGTATGGGATCAGTTTTTTTAAAAGTCCTTTCAGAGATCTTATTTCCACTGATAGACATGCCTGAACTTATAGACATGCCTGAAGTTCCTTTATATTTCTTAATGAATTTCTAGATCACTTTGGAGATTTCTTGTAAGTTTGTTCTCTTTCTATTGGTCTAGTTTTCATTGCTTTCTTACTTTCTTTTGGATATTTCTTACATTCATTACTTGGGGCCTTCTATGCTTCTTCCTTTTGATGAGTTTCCTTTTAAGATTTTCTTTTCCTTCCATTTTTTTTTTAAATTTTTATTTTCAGTTCCAGATTTTCTCTCTCTCTCACCCTTTGAGAAGGCAAGAAATAAAATCCTTTCTTTGTTACCTATTTTATTTGAAACATTTTTTCCTGTTTTGAAGTGATGAAAAAGAGAGTTGGATTTCATGAGTCCTCTTGGCAGAACAAATTTCTGAAACATCATGGAGTTGGATAACAGAAGATTGCAAGCAGTGTTGATTCAGAAAACAGCAAAACTAATGGTTTGGTTGAAAAAAAAACTTAACATGAGACCCAAGAGAGCTGGGTCACTTCAAGAGCATTTATAATTGATACTGGATAGAGGAAAGTGAATATGCAGTGGGATAGTCATGTTAGTGGGTTCTTTTATGATCTCTTCTTATAAACAGTGATGCAAGACCTCATTATATTTGGATTTTAATACCTGATGTCACACACAAGGGTGTGGAAATGGCATTTAAGAAGTTGAGATTGGGAGACTGGCTGACCACATGTATAAATTTAAAAGAAATACAGAAGAAAAGAGCAGTGTTCAAATGGAAGGGATCACAGATGTCTTCATTACCACAATAATTCTGTGCATGACATGCTGATTGCATGAAACACACAACAGAGTTTCCTTAGTGAACTCCAAGGTCACTAAACAAAATATGCTTAATAATGTTAGATGTTCTAAACTAATGTCTCCTGGGCTGCTCTGTTGTGCTTGATGTCGCCATCCTTCCAGTCACTGAGGTGTTTGAAATGTCTGGTGAGATTTGAACCTGAGTTTTCCTGACTCCAAGTCTAACTAATTCATCAGTCTGTCTCCTGAAAGCACATATTAGCATGGCATTGTAGATGGGGCACTGGACCTGGATTGAAATACCTCTGCATATGCTTACTGACAAGCCATTGGCCTGGCCTCTGAGTTAGTTTCCTTATCTGCAAAATGGGTTTTATATAGTGTACCTCATAGGGAAGTTGAGACTCAGAAATGGAGCAATCTACTTGTGCCCAGGTATTTGTTGCTAATAAGTACCAGAGGCCAAATTTGAACCCATTTATTCTCAACACCTTGTCAAGCACTTGATTTGCTTTACCATGAGAAATAAGGTGAAATCAAAAGACCATTTGTAGTTAATAGGAAGTGCTTTGAATCAGAGAAAGGAAAAGAAAGTGGTTAAATGTCAGAGACAAACCATGATTTCTGGCTTCTCTTTGAAGAAGGTGATAGAATAGAGAGATATTTGAGGGAGGGAGAGTGGGGAGGAGAGAGAGAGAAGAGGAGAGGAGAGAGGAAGCATTCTGTTTTTTAAAGTACCTTTTAGAATGAATAAAGATGACTTTTACTGGGGGGCGGGTAGTTGAGTGGGCTGGAGGGTGGGCAGACAGTGTGATTAGGAAGAAGGAAAGTTGTTTTTGTGTAACTTTGTAGGTAAAATGGGTGTGACATGGCTATTATATAATCAGTAAAGCCTTTTTAAAAAATTATGTTAACTCATGGTATGGATATTGCCTCCACAAACACAAATAGCAGCATTTCTTTCCCTTTTCATTCTGTGTGATGATTATTCATGTTTTGCCATTGTTACAGGATATAGAATTGGAAGGGACCAAAGGGATCTTTTACTCTTAACCCCTCCCATTTTACAAATGAGAAACCGGAACCTTGTAGTGTTAAAATGTCTTCTGTGAGGTCATGCAGACTTTAAATAGCAAAGCCAGAAGCAAAAACCAGTTCCACTGAGTCCATGTCAAGTACTTTTTCCACTGTCCCATGTTGCTTCTAGCATTTTAGAGGCTTTTTATATCTTGTAGTTTAAGTGGACCAGTGTGCCATTTTTGGTGTTCACGAATAGATCTTACTATGTGGCCATCTCATCTCCTTTTTTAGTCAGATGCAACTACTTTTATTTATCATTAGGACGAGAATATAATTGAGTTTCTTCAGTAGCGTGTTAGTTTGCTAGTTGTTGGACTGAATTTGCAAATTGAGTACCAGCATTAAATTAGTAAGAGTAGTTTTGAAAGTATGTAGGTCACACCCTCTTTGCCTTCCTGTCTCCCAAAGAGACATTATTCCTATGAAGGCCATATAAGACCATTCTTTGGTCACAATCCTTTGGAGTCGAATCATTGGATAACACGTACTCAGTCTATTCCAATTTAGTGCCCCAAACAGGCCATTTACACTTTAAGACTCAACAAAACTTCTGTTTCAGGGGCCTACACTTGATAACTGAGGATTACATGCATGTTACAATGAAACTTTCAGGTTGGACTTAAGTAATTAAAAGTTCATAGGGTGGAGCCAAGATGGCAGAGTACAGGGAGCAGTCTGTTTGAACTCTGCCAACATTCTCCTCCAAACAAATTTAATATAACTCCTCAAATCAAATTTTGGAGCACCAGAGCCAACAAAAGTTCAGAGTGAGACAATTTTGCAACCTACCTCAACTTAAGAGCTGGTCAGAAGAGCTCTGTAACACAAGAGTAGGGGCCAACCCAGAGCATGACAGCAGTATAAGCTGTGGGTCTTGGAGGTGGCCACATCAGCAGGGCAACTGGGGCAGTAGGGGCAGCTTTGGGAGCTTTCAGCCCAGAGATGGTAAGGGAATCAGACAACTATTCAGAAAAAGATTACAGGAGACACTTTGCTGGCCCTGAGTGAATCTGGCTTTGATTGGCAGCTCTATTGCCCATAAGCACTTCTGGATTGCATTTCCAGGGTGGAAAGGAGCGCTTGTGATTGGTCATAAGGGAGCAGGGGCCCTGGTCACAGGTCCAGGGTGAAGAGGAGCAGGAACATCAGCACTCTAGGCTACAGTGAAGCAGGGGCCTTTCGTGTGTGT